AGCCTTCATCAGGAATGATCCAGACCCCCCACTGCTTACGGTAAGGATACTGCAGCGAGTGGGGCTGCTGCTCAATGGTACTGGGGTGCTTTTGGAGAAGGGAAGGGAGCTTTGTGTCTCCTAGGTGTGTTCTAGCCAATCCACACGTTCCATGACTGTGTAGAGGAGACGTCTCTTGAAAACATCAGAGAAAGTCTCAGAACGGCATAGCCCAGCTGCCCAAAAGCAGGGAGGAAGGTGCAGTCCTATTTGAGAAGGTTCTAAAGATTCTTCTGCCCTTCTTTTGCCCACTGCCTCAATTCCATCTTGCCTGTTTGCTGCTTGTCCTTTAGATAACCAGTGGTTCTCCAGCCACAGCCCATGGCTGCTTGCGGCCCAATCAGCACACAGCTGCAGCCCATATGGCATTGTCAAGGCCAGAGAACTCACATATGTGGCCTGCATCCACACAGGCTGTGTCTAGACTGGCCAGTTTTTCCGTAAAATCAGCCGCTTTTCCGGAAAAACTTGCCAGCTGTCTACACTGGCCGCTTGAATTTCCGCAAAAGCACTGACTTCCGACTGTAAGAAATCAGCACCTCTTGAGGAAATTCTATTCTGCTCCCGTTCAGGCAAAAGTCCCTTTTGCGCAAAAGGGCCAGTGTAGACAGCTCAGATTTGTTTTCCACAAAAAAGCCCCGATCGTGAAAATGGCGATCGGGGCTTTTTTGCGGAAAAGCGCGTCTAGATTGGCATGGACGCTTTTCCGCAAAAAGTGCTTTTGCGGAAAAGCATCCATGCCAATCTAGATGCTCTGTTCCGAAAATGCTTTTAACAGAAAACTTTTCTGCTAAAAGCATTTCGGGAAAATCACACTAATCTAGACGTAGCCACAGTGTATAACCGAGCTGCTGCATATGTGACCCACAATGGCAAAGAGACTGTGAACCCTTGAAAGCCATAGCCCCAAGTACTCTGACACCGCGGCCTGCTTTAGTGGACCATTTACTGTGGACTGTTGGAGGAATATTGTTTTTTAGATAAGGAAACCCAGATCCTGCCAACTACATTGGGAGATGTTGAGTTGCAAGATGAGCTGTGTGGTGGGTGGAGGTAAAGCCACCTAAGCATTGCAGGGCCAGGAGCACAAGACAGTACTGTAGCATTCTACCAGTTCCTGGCAAATCCAGATCCACTGGTGTCTGACCTGCACCCAGCAATGCTGCATCCTTGGCAGCAGAACTGGCAGCAGCAGAATTGGTTGCCCAGTCTTGGCAGAGTCCACATGGATGTCCGTGAGTGCTGGGCACAATGGAGTTCAGTGGAAAAGCTGGAGCCTGACACAAGGTGGCGCCATGACCAAACAAACCAAGTGTGATAGTGTGTGTTTTCCAACCACCACAATGTTTGAACTTGAAACCAGGGGAGGCTGCTCCTGCCCTGCTTGCAAGATTCCCAGGAGCCAGCCCTGGTGCTGGGTGGGAAATGGTAATGGATTGGGAGAGAGGAAAAGTCTTTCCAGGGGTTGCACCATCCAGGTCATTGCACTGAGGTTGTACAAACATCTAGTGCAGAAAGACCCAGCTGCCGTTGGCATAGGTCAGGCATGTCCAAAGTCCGGCCCGCGGGCCAAATGCGGCCCGCGG